GAAAGAGTAAAAGTATCACACCCCTAGCAAAAGCCGAGCGTAGCTATGATTTCTCAGGATAAGCAGAAGGCTCTGTAACTACAAAGTGTGGATACCCACAGAGGATCTTTGAATTTTCCTGATATTATAATTTCAGTTCTTTGTTTTCAATGTATACTCTGTATTCTTGTTTCTCCACATAGAAGTCTACATATTAAAAGTATAATAAAGCATATGTTGGTAACTGGACTGCAGCTGATTTATCTGTGGGCTATCAGACTAGAAATAGTGATCTAGAGAACATGAAGGTGTATCAGAGAAATCCTTGCCCATATGGAACATGGCGTGGTCAGGTTTAGGCAGAAGTGAGAGGATGGATTCAATCAGCTCTAGATCACAGATGTCCTCATTTCTGCTGAGTTTGTCAGATAGTCCCTCTCCTGACTTCCACTCACCTCCTCTATTCTACTCTGCCCACATCCACTATCAAAGCCAAAACCAACTCTTATCTAATTGCACTAATGATTTTTGCCTTCCATTTTGCTCTTTCAAAGCTAACAAAGAGTGTGTTATATTAATGTGGATTAAGTCTCTGTTTCTGAAGATGGAAGTCAATTGAAAAGTGATATAATCTTGTGCATTTAATGGGACAAATTCCTTAGATGAATTCTATCTGTGCCTTTGTGTTCTATCCCAGTCAGGCAATTTCATTCATGGGGAGGCACATGTTTTCTATTAAAGAGAAGGAAAAGCAAAAGTCTGATTGATAGGTCTGTAATTTGAGGATCCTCTTAAGTAGAATACAGATGCTGTCCTGGCATGCACACACTCTTTGACCCAAAAGAATGCATGTTTACTCTAGGGTTTACATGTGCCTCTGGGGGAGTCACTTCACTGCTCATGACTCTCCCATGAATCCCACATCTATCCTCAGGAAACTCATACACAGGCTTTGCCTCTACAAACTAGGATAGTATGGGCCCATCCCAGTGGTTCTCTTGTTTCCATTACCAAGCAGTTAGCCTTTCTCTTCTCAACAAATTTATTGGGTGGGGTCATACTCTAGCTCACAGTCATCTCAAGCTTTCACAGAAGGGAGTTAGGCACTAGTTTTATTTTGTTTTGTTTTGAGTCTCTCAATGGTAGGAAATAAATTTCAAAGCTCTTGTAGAGTTTTTTGGAAGTCTTCTTGATAGACAAGGTTCTAGAAAGGTTCATTACTCTCATACCTCCTACAAAGAGAGTGAATAAGAACTTACAACCTGGCCACAACTCTCTGTAAACATTGTCCTCAATCTCTTCTTCTCCTCACTCTAGCATGGTTTTTATATCCTCAGTCTGGCTGAAATGTCTAAAACTTGGACTTATTTTCTTTCCTTTATGAATCTACATATTTCAGGGGGAAGAATCATCTTATTCTTACTTTAGTATCCAGGTACCAGTCATTTTATATCTGAGTTAAAAATGAGCCAAGAATAGTCCCATATTGACATCTACTTTTGCATCTAAAAGGGCTGTGGGGGAGAAACACAAAAATACTCAAACCATCATCACAGGATCAATAAAATAATAGCTAAATTGAAAGGCAGAGGGAGAAGAAAATCATTGTTCAGAAAACTTAGTCTTAACACTATTATTAAAAATAATAAAACATTTTTGGTTAAATTTATTCCTAGATATCTTATTTGTTTTGTAGCTATTGTATTATTTTTTTTAAAGAGATTTTTGCTTTAGGGAGCATGTGCTCACTAGAGAGACAGAGAGTGACAGAGAGACAGAAAGCGAGAAACAACCCCCTTGGGGGGCGATGGCCCAACACAATCCCTTTTCCTCCAGTCTCCTCTTGGTATTTTGGGCATGCACACACATACTCCCAGCATGAGTTTTAAGCCACTAGGTCCTGGACTGGAACCATGGCCTACTATGTGGGAGTTCAGTGATGTAACCATTATGCCATCTGCTGGTCCCTGTTCTGTAGCTATTGTAAGTGGTAGCTTTTTCAATTCTGTCTTTGTCTGTACACTATTGTTGTATAAAAATGCTATAGATTTTCATAGATTGACCTTTATATGAAAAAAGTATGAAAAACTGAAAAAAGAAATTAAATATAATATTGAAAAAATGAAAGGACATCCATGCTCTTGGATCAAAAGAATTAATATAATAAAAATGTCAGTCCTACTCAAATTAATCTACCTACCTATTTTATGCCATCTTGATCCAATTGCCTTAGAAATTCTTCCCAGAAACAGAAAGAACATAAACTGTGCTGGGATCAACAAAAACCTCATACTGTCAGGGCAAAACTGCATCAAAACAATAAAGTAGGAGGCATACCACTACTGAACTTTAAAGTATAATTCAAAGCAGTGATAATTAAAATAGTATCTATTAAAAATAGATACATAGAACAATGGAATAGAATATAGAATCTAGAAATAAATCCCAAATCATATGATATTTGATAAAGGGTAAAAGACAATGCAGTGGAGAAAAGAAAGTCTCTTTGGCAACTGGTGTTGGGAGAATTGGATTTCCATCTGCAGAAAAAGAAAACTGGACCTCTATCTGTCAATATAACTTGAGTTAGCTCAAAACCAATCAGAGACTTAAATATAAAGTCTCTAACCACAAAACTATTGGTAGAAAATGTAGGCAAGATTTTTTGAGACACTGAAATAGGCAAAGATTTCTTAAATAAGACCCCTAAAGCACAGACAATAGTACCTAAAATAGACAAGTGGGATTATATCATGCCAAAAGCTTTCTTACAGAAAAAGAAACAGTAACTAAAGTGAAAAGACAACCCTTGGAATGGCAGAAAATATTTGCAAATTATCCCTCAGGTAAGAGATTGATATTTAGAATACATAAAAACTCAAGTAGCTCACCAATTAAAAAAAACAAAAAGAAATAATCCAATTAAAATATGGGCAAGTGAATTGAACAGACAACTCTCCAAGGAAGACTTCCGGAAGCAAATCACCTCACGGAAAATGTTCAAAGTCTCTTGTCATAAGGGAAATGCAAATTAAAAC